AAATAACTTTTTGGGTTTTTTTTTTTTTTAATTAGGAAGTAGCCTGAAAACACGGAATAAATTTTTAACACGTAAGCAAAAAGTGATTTATAGTGCCTTCCAAAATCTGAGGAAGTGTTCCCCCTCAAATTTTAGTTTATGTACAAAACACTCCTCACACCTTTGGTGCCAGGCATTTTTCTTTGTTCTTCTTTAGTCTCAGGCCTTCGTTTCTTGTAAACAGAGCACCCAGTGCCCAGACCCTAAGAATTGCCATACTAGGTCAGATCATGGACATCCAGCTCAGGCCAAAGGCTTGCATTGTCGTAAACCACAGGTATTTTTCTTGATGATACCATTAAACATTATCAGTGTATACCAATGGAATCCATGACTTTTACTGAAGACTTTGTATTTTTATTTATTTATTATTATTGTGTTACAGTTTGCTATAGGGCATGTGTGCTATAGAGAGAAAGTGAGAAAACAAGCTATCAGGTCCAGGACTTGAACTGGTCGGGAGTCCAGCACCTTAACCACCATGCCACCTGCTGGCCCCACTGAAGGCTTTTCAAAAATCCTGAGGCCAGGGCCTGAGGTGACATAAGGGTAGGTTGCTTGACTCCTACATGGATGACCACAGTTGGAGTCCCAGACCTGGTGACTTGAAACTCAGGCGCGTATGTGTGTGTGTCCAAGATCTCACAAGGAGAATGAAAGAGAAGGGATTGCAGAATGGCCATCCTCCCTGGGTGGTGATTTCTCACTTTGTCTCACACTGCATCTGTCTCTCTCTCTCTGGTAGGCTCATGTGCCCTAAGGCTAAAACCTCTACAAAAATAAATAAATAAATAAATAAAATCCATAGAACATTCCCAATTTCCACAAAATTAATTCACATGTATTGGGTCTGACAGAGATGACAGAAGAACTTCTGGCAAGAAATACTTGGGGAAATAAACTTGAATCTTTGACACATTCTCTGAGCTCAAGTTGAGGAGGAGTGAACAGGTAAAACTATTTTTGGGGGGAGGGGAGAGGTTTTTGCTAATAGGGCACATTCCCTCGCCAGAAAGAGATGGAGAGACAGAAAGTGAGAAATCACCCCCTAGGGGTGATGGTGTGTGACCACACCACAGTCCTTTCTCCCCAGTTCTCTCTGGATTTTGGGCACACACGCACACGCACCCGTGAGTTTAAGCCACTGGGTCCAGGACTCAAACTGTGGGTAGTCCAGCGACAGCCATTAAGCCAACTGCTGGTCCCTGAACAGGTAAAACTTTTTAAAAACAAAGTTTTGGAGAAATCTTTACTGGGGCCAGCCTAGCTATTCAAAAACAGTTTTATTCAGTAACAGCCTGAGCTACAAGTAGTTAAAGATTTATTTGTATATTTGCATATTTCTAAATGCATCTTAACTTTGAAAAGAATGAAGAGGCTATCTGACTTTTATCTTGCCCTGTATTGACTTGTCCTAAATGTTTAGCTGACACCAGCTACTCTAAGAGAATGAAAGTTTTGTTTCAGCTAGAAAAGAGTAAAGGTGAGTGATTTTGAAATAGAGTACTTGAGGGAGCACCTGTTTAAACCATGACTTTGCTTTTATGTGGAAGTCCAGCGTGCCTTAACCACCACGCCACCTGCTGGCTGACTTTGCTTTAAACTCTGCAGAGACTCATTGTTTCTGGCAAGTATAGTCCCACTGATCAGGCCCAGCTCACCTTTTAACAAACCCTGAAGAAGCTTTACTTCCTCAGCAGTGTTTCTATCAACATACTCACCCACCATGCACTCCCAAAAAAGAAAACTAATTTTTAAAATATCACTCCCACTGAGAGTTGAGTTGACCACTGTTTTGAATATTACCAGTCTCTAAATCAGGGCTTCTCACCCCTGAAACTCTGGTCATTTTAGACCCAATAATTTTGGGTCTTTGTTATGGAAGACAATCCTGTGCAGCATGGAACGTTCAGCAGCATTCCTCAGCTCTACTTAGTAGAGACCGATAGCACTCCATACACACAGTTGTGAGGGTCAAAAATGCCTCTAGGCCCAGCCTTGGTGTCATGTGCTGCTGCTAGGGCATGCAATCCACAGGCAAAGACCACGTGAGAAACCTGGTTTCGATTCCCAGCCATTCATTTATTTAACATCAGAAGACTTACTTTACCAGCTATATGTTTGGTTACTTGTGGGAATACAGTGGTAAGAGCAGTTAATGATGCACTTCTAGACCTTGAAGTCAAAAGAGGACAGACATATACATGTATATTATGTGGTAACCTCATTACAATTGGGTTAAATTCTGGGAGGAGAAGCACAGGTTGTTCAGAGTTCTTTATAAGACTGAGGTCCTGATCTATGAATAGATTGGAAGCTAGGTAAAGTTTCCTTGGGGAAGTTTCCTTGGAGAAGCGACCTTTGAGAGGATTCTGAAGGATAAACAGGAGTTACTAAGTGCCGCTTGGGGGAGGGTTAGTATTCCAGACAGGAGGAACTGGTGTGGAAGCCTTGAGACAGAACGGAACAGGACCTTTTCAGAGAACACAGAAGCAGTGTGGCAGGAGCTTGGAGTGTGATGGTAAGATGATACAAATGAACCTGAGAAAGGCAGAGGCTATCTACTAGCAGCAGTTCTTAGTCCAGCTTGCTCATCACTAGAGGAACTTAAAACGGTGCCAGTAACAGGTCCCTCCTTTGGGCCCTTTAAATCAGAATGTCTTCAGTGAGTTTTGCTCCCTCCCCCAGCTGCCATTTTCTTCCTACTTTTTCTTCTTTTTTTGGAGAGGTTTTTTGCTATAGGGCATGTGTGCTCGCCAGAAAGAGACAGAGAGACAGAAAACAAGAAATCACCCCCAGGGGGGATGGGCACACCGCAATCCCTTCTCCTCCATTCTCCTCTTGGGATCTTGGGCACGCACGCACACGCGCCCGGCGTGAGTTTAAGCCATTGGGTCCGGGACTCAAACCACAGTCGACTACATGGGAATCCAGTGACATAGCCATCACGCTAACTGCTGGTCCCTCATTTTTTCCCTACTTTTAAAGGAATAATTACTGAAACTAGTTTTCATATTATTGTAGATATTTTTGGTAGGCATTCTTTCCTCCTGTTGTTTACACAAATGGTAGCATATTGAGCAGGCAGTGTGGTGATTAAGGTGCTGGACTCCCACATGGCCGACCACAATTTGAGCCCGGGACCTGCTGACTTGCTTTCTCACTCCCTGCCCCCTCTGGTGAGCCCCTATGCCTTACAGAAAATTAATAGTAGTAAAATTAAGTAAATGGTAGCATTTTATATACTATTCTCAACAATGTCATGGACATCTTTCCCTTTTAATATGTAATTTCCTTATTCTTTTGAATGACTGCATAATATTTCACTGTATGGATATACCACAGATAACTTAGAAACATTTAGATTGTTTATAATAATTTCCCATAAATAGTACTACAAATATGCCAGTTTACATGTGTATGAATACATTTTAAGATAAATTCCTAGACATGGAATTCTTGGGTCAAATGTGTATACACATATAGGTATATGTGCATATATTGTTACATGTTTGGTATATGTATGTATGTGTAAATATTTGTGTTTTTAAGAGATATTCTGGTTATATTGTAGATGGCTTGGAAGGAAAAGAATGAATGTGGGAGACAGTGGACCCTAGTTAAGATTACTATGGGGCCGGCCTGGGGCCTGGTGGTTAAGGCAGCTGGATCTCACATGGCACTTCGTTGAAGTCCTAGGACTGATGGCTTGAAACACACCCTGGGCATATGCGTGTGTATGCCCCAAATCCAGAAATGAGGGAGAAATGGAGGAGAAAGGATTGTGACTTGACCATGCCCCATGTGGTGTTGCTTTCTCCTATCTCCCCCTCTCCCCTACACAGTATGTGTGTCTTTTGGCAAGATTTTAATAAAGATTACTGTTGATAATTGGGAGAGAAAAGATGGTAGCTGGGACCCAGGTGGTAGTAGTGGAGATAAGGCAAAGTACATGTATAAAGGAGAATGTTTAGGAGGCATGATTGATAAGATTTGATGGTTGAAATGTTACAAGAGTTAAGAGGAATAAGCTCTTAGGAGGGCTAAGGACTAAGCTCCTAGGAGGGTTCCCAGGGTTCTAGCTCACCAAACTAGGTGAATGGTAGGGTTGTTACCAAAAATACAGAATATTATATTTGACAATTTAAATCCAGAGCCCCTAGGAAAGCCCTAAACTAGAGACACAAATTTTTAGGTGTAAATTAAAGGGTATGTGTGAATTACCTAGGTCAGAGATTGTAAATCAGTAGCTCACAATTGAATCTGGCTCACAAGTGTGTTTTATTTTGCCAAGACTTTTGTTGAAGTTCAAATTAGTAGCCAGTGGTTTGAAATTAGAAAATTTCTTAAGAAAATCCAGATTTGGGGGTCTCTCTTTCTGTTTTTTTTTGTTTTTTGTTTTTTGTTTTTAAGAGAGATTTTTGCCATCAGGCACGTTCACTCGCCAGAGAGACAGAAAGCGAGAAATGACTCGCTGGTGCCCATACTGTAATCCTTCTTCCTCCATTCTCAGGATCTGGGGCATGCACGCACATGCACTCAATGTGAGTTTTAAGCTGCTGGGTCCAGAACTTGAACTATGGTCAAAAAAGTGGGAATCTAGCAACGTAACGCTGGTCCCAAGGGGCCTCTCTCAAAAACTAAGATATAGTCCTACTGAACTCAAATTCCTGTGTGACAATAGAGATTGGAGCTCAATCACAGCTGAGTCCAGCTGCTTTCTCTTGGGTTGTTGGAAAAGTCATGACGCATTTTTGTATAGAAAACCAGAAAAATAAGTCATGATGCATTTTTGTATAAGAAAACCAGAAAAATAAGTCATGATTTTTCTGACAACCCAGTACTTCACTGTAGAGACCACCACGTCTTTGCCTGCCCTGCTTTGCTCTTTTACTTTTGTGCTTCTGTAGGCTTTTGAGTGTGTGATCCTTGCTTTAAGATAATATGGAATAGTGATTTTCATCTTGGTTGCACAGAGGAATTACTGAGTGATTTTAAAAGTACCAATGCTAGAGTTCACCTGAGAAAGTTTTGTTTTGTTCCTGGGTTTTTTTGTTTTTTGGTTTTGGTCTGAATTACAACCTTGGATTTTCTTTTCCTTTTTTTTTTTCCTTTTTTTTGGAGAGGTTTTTTTTGCTATAGGGCGCATGCGCTCGCCAGTCAGAGACAGAGAGCTGGAAAGCAAGAAATCACCCCCCAGGGGGGATGGCCATGCCACAATCCCTTCTCCTCCATTCTCCTCTCGGGATCTTGGGCATTCTCATCACGTGCCCGGCATGAGTTTAAGCCACCGGGTTCGGGACTTGAACCACGGTCAACTATGTGGGAGTCTAGTGACATAGCCATTATGCTAACTGTTGGTCCTTTTTTCTTTTCTTTTTTTTTTTTTTTTAAAGAAGAGGCTTTTGCCTGAGGGTGCGTGCAGGGGCTGGAGAGGGAGAGACCCAGACAGAGGGAAAGTGAGAAATCACCCCCTAGGCAGATGTCCTCCCCTGTATATAAGAAAATATGTAAATAAAACTTGGTTTTCTCTAAGTTAAAATCACTGTCAGAGTACATTTAGTTAAGTCTACACACCTTTCAAACAAGTTGCTGTTCCATTGTACCTCTCTTGCCACTTTCTCCCCTATCCTGGGCTACCCGTCTACACACACACACACACACACACACACACACACACGCATCCTGGGCTACTCTTCTACATACATATACATGTATACACACACATTCCCATGATTTTCACCAGGACTCAAAGCATGATTGGCCATGTGGGAGTCCAGTGATATAACCACTACACCATCTGCTGCCCCTCAGCCTTGGATTTTCAAAAGCTCTTCAAGTGATTTCATAAGCAGTGAACGTTGAATCACTGACAAGGGTTAAGAAAGGAGTTGTCAGGCCAGCATTTCTACGTTTGGTAGAGAAGGGTAGCCCAGGAAGGGAAAGAAAAG